TTTTCCCGGGATAAAACCGTGGATAATATGGGTAAACGCTTGATTGAATTTTGCCTGTCTACCTCATATATTATTGGTAATTCTCGATTACACAATGATCTAGGTATAGGAGAGTATACTTATCATTCGATTAACGGATCGTCAACGCTTGACTATTTATTGTTGCATATTGATGATTTTGAACTTGTTTCACATTTTTGTATTACCCCACCTAACGAGTTCTCCGATCATAGCGGACTTTGTTTTAGTCTACCATGTAAAAATCACTCTTCACCGCCGATTGAAATACACAAAGAAACGTTTTTGAAATTTGACAATACAAAAACTTCACAATTTATAGAATGCTTAAACTCAAAAAGAGGAGATATATTAGAGCTAACTAATGAAATTAACCAAAACGAAAATATTGATACTATATCACAATCTTTTATTAAGATTTTAAGCGATTGTTCAAATGATATTTTCGGACAAACACGAACAACACGAACTGTATCTATAAATAAAGTATTGAAGAAAAAACCATGGTTCAATGCTGACTGTTACAATGCTAGAGCTGAATTCAAAAAAGCAAGAAATGCTTTTGTAAAAAACAAAGACAATGATAACCTTCGTAATCTATATATAAACTATAAAAATAATTATAACAAAATTAAACGAACCCAAAAGAAAAAATATAACTTTAATGAGAGGCAAAACTTAAATGAAATGAGTAAATCTCAACCACGTAAATTCTGGAATAAGATTAGAAGTCAGTACACTGAAAATACAAGAAGGGCTGAAACTTTAACAACACAAGATCTATATGAGCATTTTAAAACACTGTATAGCACAGAGACAACAACTGGGAATATATCTTATAATCAAAATATTATAGATGAAGATTTAGATAAAGAAATTAATATGTCAGAATTACATAAAGCAGTATTTTCACAAAACAATAATAAAAGTAGTGGAATAGATACACTTATATCGGAAATATATAAAATTTCTTTTAATGAAACGTCTGATTTTATTCTAAGACTTTTTAACAGAATATTTCATACCGGAGAATATCCCAGTGAGTGGGGATCAGGAATAATTGTTCCTATACATAAGGGAGGTGACCCGGAAGATGCCAAAAACTATAGGGGTATAACTTTGATAAACATTATTGCTAAAATATATTCACAGGTATTACTTAATCGCCTAACATTATGGACTATAAAACATAAAACTATAATAGATAATCAATACGGATTCCAAAAAGGAAAATCAACTACAGATTGCATATTTATACTTCACTCAATAATAGTAAAAACTCTCTCTGATAAAAATAAATTATACGTAGCCTTTGTAGACTTTGAAAAATGCTTTGATAAATTACAACGTTCGTTTATCTTTCAAAAATTAATCCAGGAAAATGTTAGTTCTAAATTTGTAAAAGCAATTGAAAGCATGTACAGCAGTGTTAAATCAGCGGTAAGGTTTAAAAAAGAGATATCTCCAAACTTCACCTCAAACATAGGTGCAAAACAAGGTGACCCAAGTTCAAGTCTTTTATTTTTATTCTTCGTTAATGACATACTTCAGAACATTAATAGTAACATTGATGGAATTTTCACCGTACATGAATTAAAATTATTTATGCTACTTTTTGCTGATGATACAGCTCTTTTTGCCAATACACCCAATGCATTACAATCAATGTTAAATGATTTGAATTTATACTGCCAAACATGGAATCTAAAAGTTAACACATCTAAAACTAAAATAATGATATTTGAACAAGGTAGACATTCAACGTTTAACTTCATTTTCAACGGTCAGACCTTAGAAATTGTTAAAAGCTTTAAATATTTAGGCGTTTATTTCTTTAAAAATGGACATTGGAATCGGACACAAAAGCATCTTGCTCAACATTCATCATTTTCTATGCATAACCTTTTTACAGTATTTAACCAACTTGATTTAAAGATCCAAGATAAATGTAAACTGTTTGATACACTAGTTGGATCCGTCTTAAATTATAGTGCAGAAGTGTTTGGATACTATGATTGTAAAAATATAGAACTTGTACATTGTAAATTTATTCGAAAGATCCTTTGTGTCCGTAAATCAACAAATCTAGATGCATTATACGGAGAAATAGGGAGATATCCAATGGCAATATACCGTAAAATCATAATGTTTAAATTCTGGATTAAAATACTTAAGTCACCTGATAACTCAATTCTTAAAAAAATGTATAATATGTTAAAGGAAGATGCAGATAATGAGCTATCATACAGAGAAAAAAACTGGGCTTATCAAATAAAAAATATACTGAACCAAATAGGAATGTCTTACTTTTGGCTACAACAAGATAATTTAAATATAAATGTATGTGTCATAAAGCAAAGAATTTTAGATATCTACAAACAAAATTGGTATTCAAGTATTAATAATTCTAACAGACTTTCGTCTTACAGTCATTTTAAACACGAATTTCAATGCGAAAAGTATTTAAGCGTTATAAACAAAGATAGCCATAGGATTATTTTAACCAAATTTAGACTATCAGCTCATAATCTCGAAATAGAAAAAGGAAGGCACGATAATATTCCAAGAGAAAACAGAAAATGTCGAAATTGTTCATTAAATTTAATAGAGACAGAATACCATTTCTTATTAATATGCCCGAAATATTACAATTTACGTAGAAAGTTTTTTAAACCATATTTTTGTAGATGGCCTTCAATGCAGAAATTCGAAGCACTAATGACAAGCACAAATATCAAAACAATTAATAATCTGGCAAGTTATCTGTACTACGCATTTAAAGAGAGGACATAACTTTAGATTTTAATATCCGATACTTTTTTTCCTTATGCTTACTGGTAAATGGGAGATAACTACGACAATAAATGATTGGTACATATGCAACGGTTATGTCATCTTGGAAATATTGTAATTGCCGTTTGATTTGTGGATATCGATATAATATAACGTTCACAAATATCTTACATATTTAAGTGTATTTATGTTTATACTTGTCACCAATAATTCTCGGCACGTGAACAAATCTCGTTCTACTGTGTAAATGCATAAGTATTTTTTATGCAATTATGTCGTAATCTTTGTTTATATTTGTCAACAATACTTCTCGGCAACGTTAACAAATATTTTTTCTTCTTTGTTTAAGTACATTTGTTTCTCACATGTATAATTATTTCTTATGCAAACTCTGTTACATATATCATAACATTTGTTCATACTGGTTAACAATACTTCTCGGCTAATTGTAATTTGTAACACTTTACACTATACAGAATATGATTTGACTATAAATTGTATGTTTACAATTTTATGTTAAATAAAATTTATGTTATGTTATGTTAAATATGTAACGTTGAATTTTATTCCAGACAGATTTTTGAAACCAAAATTGTGCTATTAAGAAATCGATTCTAATAAATTTCTGAAATAAATTTTTTTAACTTGTTTTACTTTTCTTGTGCAAAATTGCAAAATTAATTATAAAATATTCTCTTTTTTTTTTCATTATTCCATAAATTGATTGCATAAATGTTTATTATGTTCATGTTTTATTTTCACTCATGTTCTTCGTACTTTGAAATTTATTAGCTGGTTTAATGTTATTTACATTGCCTTTAATTGTGTGTTGTTTTTTTTTGTTCATATTTGCATTTTGTATATTTCGTAAACCATTATTTTTGCCTTTCCATTTGTCAGTTCAACAGTCAACAGATTTGATTATTTTAAACATCGTTTTTCTTTGCATTAAGGAAAAAATAGGCTTTTTATGTTTTAAAATTTTTATTTCCAGACAGAAAGTGACGATTTTTTCCCCATTCTAATAAATTTCTTTAATTATATTTTTGTTACTTTTCTAACTTTTCATGTGCAATTATTTTTGAAATACATTATCTCACATTTTTCAATGTAATAAAGTTAGGTTGGGCCACGAGAGAGTTCCTCCTCGTGGTGTGGCAAACAGTCAAATCCGTTATTTATTTTATTTACATCTACCTTTTGGCGAAATGTAATAACTGAACGCTCTCAACAAATTATATTAAATTTTCCACGGAGAAAAACAAAAACATTTTTATGTTAACGATTATTTTATTTTTAGAAAAAAAAATGCTTATTGACCACATTTTACCTATTTTGCAATTCCAATTATGTAATAAATCTCGTATAATAACCTAATAATCGACGGTACTACCGTCGACGGTCTTTTGTTGTGAATATTTTTACATATATTAAGTCAAAAATGTATTTATTTCATTAAGACAATTAACTGATCATTGTTGAATTACAACTGAACAAACACAACATCTAAATTCTATAAATATATTAATAACCATTGAAAAATTTCATTTTTTTATTATTACTCTATTTTTTTCATCAAAAATACCCGTTAATCACTCTAAACTATTGACATAAATCACTGAAAGTGTTATTGCCTATTGGTCATTCTGTCTAATTACGTACTAGTATATAATCTGGACACCGTCGATTTGTGTTATAACCTACTATTCGACGGTCTCCTACAATTGGGTGACGGCCTGGTGAATTTTCGTGTTCTTTGTTCTATAGTAAATCAGTCACATTTGAGGCTTAATTTTGGATTCCACTGTTCTTGATGAATTATATACTGTCTTCAACTTTAAACATCAACACTATTTAAGTCAAATGAGGCCCAAAATATAATAGGTTAGCCATCTACTTTTTTCAGAAATCTTCACTCTGTTGTAACACAGTTTAAATTCACCACTATGAAAACTCCTGACTGCTGGTGGGTGGTACATCTTTAATCCTTCCGCCAACAAATGAGTTCCTGGAGAATACACAAAAAACAACTTTTAAACACATCATATAACACACAAAAACTACAAACATGCAATAAATACACTTTAATTATGACCAATCTAACTAGAGATGACTTAAATTGGGGCACTTCAAAATTTTAAAGAACTACTTTCTAGACTACAACGGGTTGGGTCTAATTCCGTACCGGGTTGAGACCTTGACGGTTTTCGACGGTCTTTGGAGACCGGGACCGTCGAAGACCGGAGACCGGAGACCGTCGATTAGTATCCCCCAATAGCCGAGGCAGTTCCGAATGATATGTCAACAAACAACCTGGCGCGAAAAAAAACTCAAATACCCGGTAAGTATATTTATTTTACCATAATTAGAAATAAAAAAGATTGTCTGATATCACATAACGATCAGAAAACCCATTACACGGCATGATCTACATCTACATTGTACGTCGGCGCAATCACACTTGATTATGACGCGACAGGTGGTGCTAGGTCAAGAAAAAGAAATATACAAGAAATGATAGAAAGTAAGAAGAGGTTGGATAGTACAAAGGTAGAGATATAGATAAAAAGTATGGCCAGCTATATTTCGCCTCTTCAACCCAAACCTCTCCGGTTACGGTGGCCGCTGCCGGCACAGCCTTGGATATCACTAGTGGGTACTTGTAGCTGGGCCCCTAAGGCGATTTAGAATGTGAGGGCTGATAGCCCCTGCTTGAAGGATACCAAGTCAGGGGCCTCTGCAACGGAGGCAGGTAAGCTGTTCCATTGTGGCTGTACGAGGGAAGAAGGAGTTCTTGTAGTACGATGTAGATGTTGATGGTAGATGGAACTTCTTGGAGTGGTCACTTCTAGTGCGGCTCGGGGCAGGGGTGAGATAATCGCTGACTGGTATGTCCACAAGGTCATTGGTGATCTTGAACAACATGGTCAGCTGGGCTTTGGTCCGTCGTGACTCTAATGTCTCCCACTCCAAGTGTTGGATCATTGAGGAGGAAAAGAGTCAACTCGGCCCTATACCAACTCGGCACGGGTCAACTCGGCACGGGTCAACTCGGCCCACTTTAAAAAAATATATTTAACGTAGTAATATTAAAAAAAATATCAAACAAAAACATGTTTACTTAATATCATAATTAAGCTTCTAATTAATTGCAGGTGGTCACTAATCAAATTTAAATGAATGCGTCAATCATAATTATCACCTAATTAATCGGTATCCTTACGAACACACTGATTGATAATAATAGCCTGTGACAATAAGAGTCCCTTTAATGACTTTAGCCAATTTCATTTAATTTGTTTGTAATTGTCAAAAGCTGAAAATTAAGTCCGTGTATTATACATAATTACAAATATTACAAAAAAATAGTGATTACACAAACCTAAATATAAATAATTGAAAAGTGGGCCGAGTTGACCCGTGCCGAGTTGGTTTAGGGCCGAGTACGTTTTAGGGCCGAGCTGACCCGGAATCATTGAGGATACGCTGCTTGTGTTGTGGTAACGGTTCGTCACATATCTTGCAGCTCTCCTCTGGACCATCTCGAGCTTGCGTGTAAGGTCCTTGGTATAAGGGTTCCAGATGGTGGAGCAATATTCAAGGCCTGGACGCACGAGTGACATGTAGGCTGTGCTCTTGACCTGTTCATTGCTGATGCGCAGGTTGCGTCGAAGGAAGCCGAGTGTGCTGTTGCCCTTCTTTACGATCTTGTCAACATGTTGGTTCCATGAGAGGTTTCCCGACATATGGACTCCGAGGTACTTGGTTATCGAGTCTATCTCGAGTGTGTGGCCCTTCAAGGAGTACGGGTATATGATGGGGTTCCTCTTCCTGTGGACCCTGATTATGCTGCATTTCTCTGGGTGGAAACTCATGCCCCAGCGTTTCTCCCACAATGCCAACTTCTTCAAGTCATCCTGCAGAACGTGGCAGTCCTCTTCAGTGTTGATTTCCCGGTATACCACACAGTCGTCAGCAAAGAGTCTGGCTTTGGACGTGACATGAAGTGGCAGGTCATTGATGAAGACCAGGAAGAGAATGGGTCCGAGCACACTTCCCTGAGGGACTCCGCTGATAACGGGTGCTGGGTCGGATGTTGCTCCATCAACAACTACGCGCTGAGTGCGGCCTGTGAGAAATGCCTCAATCCACTTCAGGGTATGGTTTCTAATGCCATAATGATGCTATACTTATAGTTTATATGGATGGAATTATATACAAATTTCTCGGAATCAGGGTCAGCTCGGCCCTAAAACGTAATCGGCCCCGAGTCAGCTCGGCCCTATTCCAACTCGACCCCCATAACTATATATATAATTGGTAAAGATTACTTTTATTAATTTTGATATGTTTTCATCATAACTTTCATGGTTTGACATTTTCACATTAACGGACCTCTACACAAGGATATTGAAAAGCTTTTATATTGTTTGTTTGTATGTGAATTTGTAGAAAAGAGAGAATTTACAATTTATATGCATGATTTGCTACTCCAGATTTATTGCAAAAAATATCGTTCAAAAACCATTGGTCGTATTAAAGAGCAAACAGTATTAAACACAACTACATTAATTGTCACAAAAATTCAATCTCAAAACTCTATTTATTGATCAATATTTAACATATATTGTCTTGATATCAAGATAATTTCAAACAATACGTACAGGTACACTGCCAACTATTTCAATAGGGAACGATCTGCATGTATATTTAAACTGAATTGACAATTGAGGTCTGTAATTTAACATACACTGTTTACGTATAGACAATAAAATGCATTTGCTTTTTATTTTATGTCTCACACAAAATATTTGTTGTTAAAATCATCGCCAAATACTGGTGCATTTTTTAAACTTTATTTTATTGACAAGGTGTAAAGATGTATATAGAGGCCAGAGCAGATTGTGACTTATGTTTAAATTTAACTTTTTAAAAGTACAGTGTGTAGATCTAGTTGTCCCTTTTCTTTTCACACTAAATTCCATTTTCAACTTGTTTGCATTCTACAATTTCTTGAAATATTGCATGTAAACAAAGTAAATATACGCTGATTAACATTAGGGCTGGGTATTGATCAGAAATTTCCGATACGATACGTATTGCGATACAGACCCGCAATACACAATACGTATTGACGATACAGTACAATGATGCTTCATTGTTAGGATGTATTTATTAAAAGTACTTTTTACATTTCACAGATGTCCTTGTGAAATATTATTGAATCTTTCTTATATCTGTTTTAGGTTTTGAATTTGTTTATGATGTTATATAATATATAGCAGGTGCATAGGTACCTTAATTAGTAATTTTGAGATACTATTTTGAAAATGACATGATGGCCCCTTTTTTAGATAAAACAATTATTTTGAAAAAATAAAAAAGCTTTGTTAAAATAATTCAATGCAAAAATATGATAATGTAAATACTAGGAAAAGTTAAAGCAGAAAATAATTAAAACATCACTATTTATTATGGCAGGAGTCTAGTACTGTCTACAAGTCAACTGTTCTGAATTTTTGTAAAATTTGAAATATATACGCTGAGATAGTAATGGAACATTGAATTTTTTCTAATAAATCATGTTTTTTCTATCTTAAATGGTAAAATTACATTAAAAATTGAAATATCATGTAATGATGTTGAGGACTTCATTAGGTGTCGTAATCCGTAATGTACCGGGAAACTAATTTTAGCTACGTCTTCGCGCAGTCACATTTATTTAGTTAGCAAACTACATCTTGGAAAATCAATAAATTTGTAGGATTTATGTGTTAACAATATATGTTTGATTAAATTACAAGTAACTGTTTGGTCTAATAAAAACTACTGCCGACCTGAAGGTATTTTTTTTCCAGTTTTAGAAATAGGAGATTGAATTGCCGGACCAATTATGTCACGAGATTTATCCGTCATTTTTTGTATTGACATATTCGTTGTTCCACCTAAATTAGTCACTGCAGCCTTCTTAACATTTACTTTAGAGAAATTTCCACACTTTTAACTTTTGTGCTGACATTTTAAAGACGATAGTTTTAATAATTAATGTAAAGCCATCATGTTTATAAGTTACACTCTTTTATTAGGTTGTCTCCCTTTGTATCGGTATGGCTAAAACCCGATAACCGTACCGTATTGAAAAACGGAAAATCGATAAATACCGATTTACCGGTATATTGATCCAGCCCTAATTAACATCATGTATAAATTGTGTTCTCCCTATTGCCTTGTCCGAAAGTCAGTACAGGTGATATAGTGGTGATTAGGTAAAATCTATTTTTAGAAAAGTGTTACCTTCAGATCGAAGGCTATTTCTATTTGTAAGTGATCATATTTCTGAAAAACTTTAAGTAATTTTCTCCTTAAAATTAGAGATGACCTCTGCCAAGTTGACCCGTGCCGAGTTGGTACAGGGCCAAGTTGACCCTTTACCAATTTCTCGTGCACAACATGTGGATAAAAATGTGACTTTTTTAAAATGTAATAAAATTCTGTTTAAATTTGTTTATTTGTTTATACTGTTAGACACTAGAACGTATCATTCAAAATTTAAAAACAAATAAAGACAATTTGCAAATAAGAGTCCGTTTGACCTTTGAAATGACTCTTTGACCCTTCAAATTTGCTAATGGCCTGATTTGACTCTCAGGATTTTAACTGGAGGGTCAAATTTTGGTAAAATCATGGGGATTTGTCCTTGTAGTAAAACTGAGTCAAAATGACCCTCAGGATTTCATGGCTGGTGAACACCCTGCAGTCTTTATTAGTTGCAAAGAACGGAACTTAAATTTGTCCAGCTATATTTGTAAAAATTTTTATGTATTGAAACTCTGTGGATCTGTTACTCAATATCATTCATTACGGTTACTTACACTGCGGCTTACATTGTATGGACAAATGATTTAGTTATTATTCATCAGGCCACTATGGTTTCAACATACATGTTTTGCATTTTCATACATTATTGATTACGTTACATAACTTTAACGAAATTTAAGCAAATGGTTACATACCATGTAAAAAATGCAGTAGCATCATGTGGAAACAACGTTAAGTACGTTGTGTCTGCCCACACAATAACAAAATTCTATAACATACATGTAGCAAAACAGCGAAAAAAAATAAAACTAGGAAATGATATGTTATGGTTGTCTATCAATATGTTCATATGGAGGTAACACATTTCAATATTTTTGTGCCCCCACGTTAGTGGCGGGCATTTAGATTTACCCTTGTCCGTCCGTCCGTTCACTTTTGTGTCGCATGTAACTCAAAAAGTATTTGACCTAGAGTCATGAAACTTTACAGGAATGTTGATCAGCATGTTTAGTTGTGCACCTG